TTTAGATACCTCTCTCTCTCATATATACATACATATATATATATATTTAGAGACTAGGTCTCACTCTGTCACCCAGACTGGAGTGCAGTAGCATGATCATGGCTTAGTGCAGTCTCAAACTCCTAAGGTCAAGCGAGCCTCCTGCCTCAGCCTCTCGAGTATTTGGGACTATAGGCAATTTTCAACTGCCTAGCTAATTTTCAACTTTTTTTTTTTTTTTTTTTTTTTTTTTTTTGTAGAGATGAGGTCTCACTATTTTGCCCAGGCTGATCTTGAACTCCTGGGGTCAAGTGATCCTTCTGCCTCAGCCTTCCAAGTAGCTGGGATTACAGGTGTGAGCCACCACATCAGGCTTAGAGACCTCAATATTTAAGAGTGTAAAGGGATCCTGAAACTAAAACATTTGAGAATCACTGGTATAGACTGAGCAGTACTGTTACTGGCTGCCTAGCTAGCTTGCTCCAGGGATGCTATGCTATCAACCATCTTCAACCACGGTCCTCTACTGGCCAGGACTGCCCCCACTGCCACTCCAACTTGCTGCTTATTACAACAGTTGTGCTGTCTAGCTTCTATGATTTCACCATCCTATCATCCCCACTGCTATCTGGAGCCAGTTCCGGAATGGCCTCTTGCTGTCAGGCATGGCTTACAGAGGACAGTCCAAACTCAGCTTCTCAGGGATGCTGGTACCCCTCTCAACAGTGCGTTCCTTGTTGCTTTGATGACCAGAGTATCCTCTGGGCCTTCCTGCAGAACTTAAGTGGTTTCTGGCCTTACATAGAATATACCCACTTCGCTGAGCTTTTGAACCCTTCTTCCACATTCTGCTGTGGTAGTTCTGGCATTTCCATTACACTCTGGTAGCCATTGCCTTTCTCCTGTCTCCCAGGATCCTTGTTGGGATATCACATCCTGATTCACAGGAGAATACTCCTATAACAACGACATCTCCCTTGTTCAACTTAATGTTTGGCACCACACCCCACCTTGATCTAGCCTATACATTTGCTCCTGGATCCTGCCAGTATATACTGGCTGCTTCCACAATGACTTCATGGTCTAGCCTTCTTCCCTCGTGGGCCCCTGCACATCTCTGACTGGGCTTTATTGTGATCTGGCTCTATGTATTGGGCTTGTAGGCCAGGAGAGAACGGCAGCTTCCTTTGGTGTCAGAAGGCAAGTCCCAGGGACAGTTGCAGCTGAGCCATCATAGCCAACACTCCTGACAACTGGAAGAATAAGCACCTCCCTCCTGAGGGTGACCTGGGTAGTAACCCCCAATATCCATTACAGAGAAGAGACAAAGTCTAGCTTTGCCTATGAGGCAGAGCAGAGCTGGGATCAAGAGCCTAATGCCCTGGAGTCAGGGGTCTGAATTCCATCAGGGCTTTTGAATTCCAAGGCATTAGGGCTATGTGACCTTGAGCAGGTTCTTGGCCCTTTCTGAGGCAGGGACTTCATCTATGAAACGAAGATAAACAGTACTACCTGATAGGTCATTGGTAGACAGATAAGACAAGGAATGTAAGGGCTTGGTCTAATGCCTATAGCACATTCTAAGGGCACTGTTATTGTCATAATTGGTCAGAACTTTGCAAAGCCAAAAAGGGCTGCCTCAGGGAGCAAACAATGAGTATGCCACCATCCCAGATGGTCTTTGGACTGACGCTGCTGAGTGCTCCCCAGGGATTTTGTGGAGGAGGCTCTAGGGTCCACAGGGGTATTCACAAAAGATGACCTTCTGGGCCCATTCTATCCCCAAGCTGCCTGGATTCTCTGATTTCTCTGATCCCTGCCTGTTCTTAGCGGGGGGAGGCATATTCACTTTCAGGCCACTAGGGGGCCATTTAGTTTTCTGCAACAGGAGAACACTAATGGTTTCTTAATGGCTCAGGCACCAGGGAGATGAGGCTCAATTATATCTGAAAGCATTCTTAGTTCCTGGGGTAAAAGACACTATGTAAATCCAGATAATAAATAGACATTATTGATGACAGGTTAAAGAATCTGGCACTGTTTGGTTTAGAGAAGATAGAGTGAGAGGAATTGAATAAAGGCTTCAAGTATATTATTCTTTGGTACAGAAGAATGACATGCTGTTTTCCCACTCCACTGGGAACCAAGCAAGAAGAAAGGCATTTAATTTGCAACAGAAATATAGAGAAGCAATATGGAGTGCATTCAGGAAAGGGGAGTGAAGGAAGCTTTGTATTGGCCTCACCTGGAATCGTTAAGAATAATTCACCATGGAATAGTTGTATGATATGTCCTGCCAGGAAAGCCCTAGAGCAGGGGAGAGAAGAGAGACAACTTCCAGAGACAATTCAAGAATTTTAAGTCAACAGGCTGCCCTGGCTGACCTAGGAGCAGGGTGGAGGAGTGAGTTGTTTCTTCCCCATCAGCCCACAAAAGGCCATAAACACTCCAAACTTCCAATATCCTTGAAATTTCTCAGAAAAGTAAAAAGGCAGCTTTTTCCTTTAAATAGCATCTGACTAGCCATTAGTAGTGGCAGCCTCACACCTGGGGGAATGAGACTGAGACTGGGTTAAAGGCCTGTGGTTCCAGCAGTCCACTAGCACACTCAGTTCTGGTAGCCACTTCTGTGCTACTGAGGTGGCAAGGCAGCAGTGTTGGGAGGGCTTCCTCGTGTGGTGTGTTTGTGTGTGTGTGTGTGTGTGTGTGTGTGTGTGTGTGTAGGGGGGTCCTCTGGAAGCCAAAGATTCCTGGAGGAGGGGGGGAAGTGAGAAGGGTAGAGAGGGGATCCTGCCCTACAGGGTAGAAGCCAGGTCAGGCTCACATTTGCAGGGGCTTGAGAGAAGGTTCACCCACAGAACCCCATCAGAACCACAGTCCTCTTCCCCAACACACGCCCAGGCAAGTCTCCCTCACTCATTCAGACACCCAGGCAGTTCACATGCCCAGTTCTGGGAACACAGGAAGTAGCATCCAAGGAGGAGGGAACCAGAATTCTGGAAAGGCTTATAGAGAGGGAACGGGGAGGAGAGAAGGCAGGGAGAGCAGGAGAGCGGCAGGAGGGGGAGGGCACAAGTAAAGCCGCAAAGGAGAGTCTGAGCATGAAGGGTTTTTAGCACCTGGGGGGTTCCAAGACCAGGCACAGAGCCCACTGCCTGGCCCCTGGCCTGGAGCCAGAGAAGACAAACCTCACATGGGAAAGTGGGGAGGGGACAACCACCCAAGCCTTGAGGTCTGGAGGGGATCTGAGAGTGAAAACGCTGTAGGATCCCTGAGAGTTAAACTCCTCAAGTTTCAGTGCAGCCCCTTGGGTCCAAATCCAGGCCAAACCCAGGAATTGGAAGACCCAAAAAGCGGGACCTGCGACCTGCTGCGAACTTCGGGACTAAGGTGTTAGGCGAGTCTGGAGAACAACTCAGTCCCGTGGCTCTGTCCCGGAGGCTCAGGGTTGGGGGGTGAGGCGGGCTGGGGTACGAAATTGGGAAGACTTCAGTAGAGTTCCGAAGCCCAGCATGGACCAGGTGGAAGGAACACAAGCAGCTGCGGCCCCAGTGCGCGCTCCAGGTGCCAGGACCGCCTGCCTACCCCTGGCGTCAACCAGGTTCTTTAGCTGTGAATGGGCCTGGGGGACCCGCCCAGGGGGTACGCGGAGCGGGGCGCGAGCTGGGAGCTGGAGCGTGGTATCCTCCCTCTCCCTCTTACCGTCCCCTCCCAGAGGATAAACTGAGGCCTGGGGTCCGAAGCCCGGGCTGCTATTCCACCTGTCACTTCGGAGCCTCGGGGCGGAGCCGGGAGGCGCCAGAATTGACAGCTCGCGCTCCGACCGCCCCCTTCTAGCTCCGCACTCCGCCTAACACAACGCCGTTCCCCCTTTTAAAGAAGTGCCCGGAGCTCCAGTCTACGCCGCGCTAGCCCGCAAGGGGCCGCGGCGACGTCGCCCGTTTAAGAGCCAGCCTCCCTTAACTCTCTCTTAACGGGGCGTCCCGGCGGGGCTCTTGGCTCCCGGCAGCAGCCGCCTCCCCTCGCGGCACTTCCGGACCCCGGCGTCGCCCTTTTAAGAGGCAGCCCCCAGCAGCGCTCTCCCC